GCAACCCTATCCAAGACTATGTTAATCTCACAAAAACATGTCTTGAAACACGTAACATTTCTATTGAATTTATTTACTTAATAGTTGAAAATCTCCCCCCTCCCCCAGTGTAACACATATTTAGTCATTTTTAGAGTATTGTAATCATGTAAATGTTACATTTAAAAGTTTTTTCTTTTTTCAAAAAGCATGTAACAATTGTATTTATTGAATTTCAGATCACTCTGAGGTTAAATACAGATGTAAAATCATGAGATATTGTTACGGGGCGAACGAGACATGAGACTTGCGGATCTATTTGCAAAGCTTTAATACGAGACAGAGATGTGGTCATAAAACAGGCATGGGTCAGACAATGGCAAACAGATATATTGAGGGCAAAACAGAAGAGTAATCCAAAATGGGCGTGGTCGATAAGCGGCTAACAATATCCAGAGGGCTTGACATGAGGGGTTATCCAATAACACGAGCTAGAGTCCAGGCGAGGTGCAAACACAGTCCGAAACAGGCAAAGTGTTAACTCAAGATAAACATGCAAAAATCAGGTACCAGGAAATCAGAAAACACGGCGAGACTAGACTAAGACTAGAACTAGAAACTAACAAAGGGAAAAGGCTCCGTAAAGTAGCTCTCATACGATAAGCGCTAAACAATACTCCGCAGTTTGAAAGGGATCAGAGTGAGTGTTATATAGTGAATGTGTGATTGGTTACAGCTGTGTGCAATCAGTGCTGTGTGCAATCAGTGCAATGGATGATGGGATATGTAGTCCGGGATGACATGCAACAGTTTGTGTAGTGCGAGAGTCAATGTAATGGAAGGGTGACCTCTGGTGGTGAGTTAATTGAAGTTCATAGACCGGATTCGTGACAGATATAGTTTAGTAGCTATGATACTGTTTTTGAAATCAAATCTTTGCATAGCAATGACAGGAAATACACGCTAACAATGCTTTGGAAAAAAACAGTTTATCTTAAAAAAACATTTAATAAAGCATATACATAAACCCAAATAGGAAATAAAACAGTTATCGAGTAAGCATGTTTCCTAAACTCCTGAAACATTGGTGTCTCATATTTTAAAGCAGTCAATGCAATTTGGGAAAGAAATCAATCAAATCTGTATGTGTGAGATAATATTCAGATGTAACCCCTTTTGTAATCATTAACATTTTCATAAGTAACTAATTTAGTTACACATTTTTTCTTAGTAACTGATTACGGTTACATTTATTTTGTAATTAAATTACGGAATTCCCAACATTGATAATAATCAGAAATGTTTCTCGAGCAGCAAATCAGCATATTATACTGATTTCTGAAGATCATGTGACACTGAAGACTGGAGTAATGATGCTGAAAATACAGCTGCACATCACAGAAATACATTACAGTTTAACATATAGAACAATATATACACACAGAAAACAGCTATTTGAAAAATTAGTAATTTCAAATTTTTCACTGTGTGAGCAGAAGCATTAAAATCTTTTAAACAATAGTGTAAATATATCAAGTTTTTAATAGATTAAATGGAGACGTGATTATTTGCTGACCGAACACAATGGAAATGCTGGCGAAGAAGGCACAGCGCAGAATGTAGATCAGTCTGAGGGCGGAGCTATCGAGGGGCGGGGCATAGAAGGGGAGGAGCTTGTATCCGGCCCACGTCAGTAACGGGAAAATCACAGCAGCAACAAAATATCTGATCAAAAAACATTTCTTTTAGCAGAACAACTTTTGAGCCATTTGCCAGATTGTACAGTATGATACTGTATCCCACAATGCAATGCACTGTACTTGACACAGATTATTATTTTTTATTAGCTAAAACCAAAACCTAAAAAAAATAATTTGTTGTTACTTGAAATAAAATAAATTTTTCATATTATTTTAATTGTTTATTTTAAATTATTTGTAAATTTTCATACATTTTATTTTTGTTACTTGATATAAAATAAATGTTAATTTAAATAAAATATAAATATGATTTGTTTTTACTTTTGTTAACTGAAATAACTGAAATAAGAAAAAGTAAACATTTCATTTCAGCTAGATGCCAAGGCAGCGTTTCTCATTTTCTTGTAGTTTAACTTTAATTAAGTACTAAAATAACTAACAGAAATAAAAAATAACAATAAAAGCTATAATAGACATATTAAAAAAGACAAAAACTAAATTACCAAAACTTTAAAATTAAAACAAAAATAAAAATTCAAAATATTAATAAAAAATATAATAGTATCTCAATTATGCTAAAATAACACTAACGTTAACTGAAATATTATAAAATGTTAAAACAACTTAAACATTTTATTTCAGCTTGTTGCCAAGGCAACATTTCTCATTTTTGTTTAGTTTAACTTGACGTACTAAAATAAATAAACTGTATAGACATTAAAAACATAATTATTAACTGTAAAATTACAATGAAAGAGGAAAATGTAAAAATAAAAAAGTATTCCTTTCATTTTAAATACAATCAATGACCCAGAAACCAATCCGTTGTTTTCTTAACTCATTGTTTGGTCAAACTGCTATTAAAAAAGTTTAAATATTTCACACAAAATGCAGTTACTAGCTTTATAATGTCAATACTGACAAAACTATTACTTATGCATTAGTGTGCATACTTCATACTACTGCAAGCTAACTTTTCAATCGAGTATACAGTATATGCCAAACCGTACACAATTACTGTATTACTAATTATGACATACTCCCGTTTTCATCCAAATATCTTCCATCCTGCTAGAGTTTACGGTCTGAGTATACTATTATACAGTACTGATTTGTTTTTAAATGATAAATGACAAATACTTATGGATGCATGCACTTTATTGCACTTCTTTTGGACTGTTGAAAAATAACACCCATTCACTGCCATTATAAAGCTTGGAAGAGCCAGGACAATTTTTAATATAACTCCGATTGGATTCGTCTGAAAGAAGAAAGTCATATACACCTAGGATGACTTGAGGGTGAGTAAATCATAGACTAATTTACATTTTTGGGTGAACTAACCCTTTAAAGGTTGTTCAAGTGAGTCGTATCATCAATCCACGGCGGGTGGAAATGTTCTGGAGGTCTGATCTCTGGATGTTTAAGCGTGCTGGTATCAGTCTGTTTTCTGGGTTGTATTTCTGAGCTGTGATCAAGTCTGTGGTTTAGTGGTGAAACTCCAGTTAGTTCTGGGTTGAACATGAAAGTCTTAAACACAGAAAAAAATCAACCAGTCAATGTAGATCTTCTCAGATCGCCCAGTTTTGCAGAAGAATCGGTCTATTGCTACCCATAACCATTATTAACCCATTAGCAGCTCCTTAAATCCTTTCCAAATTCAGAATTTCTACTTCAAAATTCCACATTAAATTTGATGTTAATTTCAAACTATTTATATATTTTGGGGGTGATAAATTGACATTTACTAGCAATTTCCGAGTGAGCATTTTGTATTCACATTACATTTAGTCATTTAGCAGATGCTTTAATCCAAATCAACGAAAGAGCAATGATACACAAGTGCTATAACAACTCTCAGTTAGCCTAACACAGTTTACTTTTCTTTTTTTTTTGAAGTAACTTCACCAGGTTTTTTTTTAGTGTATTAGTAAATTTTGAAATAAACATTAAGATTAATAATTGCTTTACAAGGAAGTATTTTTCATTGTTAGTTTAATGTCGTTAACTAACGTTAACATGCAAAGGTCATGGGGTTGTTTACCAGGGAACACCTCAACTGACAAAAATAGACGTCTTCAATGCAGTGTACGTTGCTTTAAATAAGTGCTTCTGCCAAGTACATAAATGCAAATAAACATTTTAATTAAACTTTGGGTAATTATTGTGTAAAATAAGTGTCTATTTCATTTCAGCAATTCCATTACCATATTATATTGTGTTACATATACCAGGCTAATTATAGTGGTAGATTATTAATAGGTCTATTATCAATTATAATTAAATAAATTATCATTTTTAAAATAATTTTAATTCATATAAATGATGATCGTAATAATAATAATAATTTATTATAATTATAATAATAATACATGTAATAATACATTTTTTTATTATAAAATAAACAGGTTTTATAGATACAGGTTTTTAATAATCTATTTTATAGATTATTAGTAGGCCTACTTACTATTAAAGGGGTCATATGATGTGATTTCAGTTGTTCTTTCTCTTTGGAGTGTTTGAGTGAGTGTGATCGCATCCAAAATAAAGTTTTTGTTTGCATAATGTGTTATACACAGTATATATTTTGAAAATGTTTACATGTATATACTTAAATTTATATTATATATATAAATAATTTATAAACATAACATTTTTCTTAAATATATACCTGCATTATATACATGTATTATATAAACAAAAACTTTTATTGTGGATGCGATTAATTGCAATCATTTACACAAATACACACAAACAGGCTGATAGTATGCCTTTTATTGATTATTAAATACAAAGTATTACACATAGTTATGAAAGTTATTATGAATATAAAAAACCTTAAACTTAATATCTGTTAAATATCGATTATTACTAGATAAAGTATACATTATATAAAATGTTTTTCGCATTTCGACGCTTATGTTTTTGCACTACAATATCGCACACATTGTTACTTCGCTGAGGATGTTAAAAAATATAAATCAGTTTTCAAATGTCAGACATTAGCTGATAAAAGTTACAATTTCATGCACTAGAAAATAAGAATGATTAATTCTGCCCGTACAGAACTAGAACGCATGTGTACTCTCTGTATAAGCGTGTATGTTGTTCAGCTGATACGAAACGAAACTAGCATTTAATTAAATGCATTTTTAGGCTATTCTGAAACTCTTGTTTACTAGCGCTGCACATGTGCGCCGGTCAGGCGCGGTGAAACCAAACTTCCCCTCCGCCGAGCGACAGCTCTCTCAGCCAATCACAACGCTCCGTGCGCTGTGACAGCCAATCAGAGTGCGGGATTGCCAGAGGGACGAGCGCAGACATGCGGAAGTTCGTCTGTGTCGCCGCCGTGTCGTGTGTTTTCAGGGCGAGTCGTGAGAAATATGCTCATTTTGACTGAACCGATGTTTAAAATGTGTTAATGTCTAAAGGGCAGCATGAGCGGCACGTGCAGGGAGGTTGTTACCCTCCAGCTGGGGCATTATTCCAACTTTATCGGGACGCACTGGTGGAATTTACAGGTGAGTTTGATCAATAGCGAATATATTCGGTTTATTTACTGCTACACACGTGAAGAATCAACTTATCATGTCAGTGCATCAGTGATAAACGAGCTGGCAGATCAATTTAGCTTCCACAAAGAAGACTGAACGAGTCAGCTGCACCTCGATAGCAACACTAGTTTCTGCAGTAAAGCTGTGGTGCGTTAGCATGAGAAGAAATGTTATTTATAGAACGTTCGTGAAACATTTCTTTTTTTGAATGTTGCTAATTGTTTGAAAGTAACATTCACGTAATGATGAAATGGAACACATTTAGAAGTAACGTTCCAAATGTATCTGCAAAATAATGAAATGGAGTCTTCCCAATAATAGTTATTAAATTAATCTCCGACATCAGTAATTAAAAGCCAGTGTATTTGTGAACATGTACAGTTACATAGGCACACATTCAATTAATATATGCTGATATGCAAAAATCTGTGTTATATTGGTATACGATTTGTTGATATAGTATTTTCGTTATATTTGTTAACATAGTTTTTAGTAATATTTTAAATTTGTTTGTATTTTTTATTGTCTATATCGTTTTTATTAGTGCTGTCAAACGATTAATCGCATCCAAAATAAAAGTTTTTGTTTACATAATTACGTATATATAAATACACACACATGCGGCGTATGTTTCGAAAATATTTACATGTATATATTTATATTCATATACATTATATCATATATATAAATATATTTAATATAAACGTAACATTTTTCTTAAAGGGATAGTTCGCCCAAAAATGCAAATGCTGTCATTAATTACTCGCCCTCATGTCGTTCCAAACCCGTAAGACCTCCGTTCATCTTCGGAACACAATTTAAGATATTTTTGATGAATATCGCTCTGACCCTCCCATAGACAGCAAGGTAACTACCACGTTTAAGGTCCAGAAACGTAGCAAGGAGATCGGTAAAATAGTCCGTGAGACATCAGTGGTTCATCTGTAATTTTACGAACCCACGAGAATACTTTTTTGCGCGAAGAAAACAAAAATAATGACTTTATTCCACTGCGTCACTTGTGGACGTGCGTTCACGACAGTACCATGACGCGAGCGTGTGGCGGCGCCGGCGCTGACCCAGATCCGGTGTAATGACGTCATTAGTAGAGACGAAAATGTGGAATAAAGTCGTTATTTTTGTTTTCTTCGCGCAAAAAAAATTTTTTATATTATGCATAATTAAGCATAATTGTGAATTCACAAACGCTACGATTTAATTATATGCAATGCCGTTCTAATACAGTATATGCGCTTTAATTATTTACATGCGTGTAGGTTAAGTACGTGGCTCCGTTCACAGTAGCTCCACAGGAACTGTTATCATTTACATGCATCTGCGCATGTTGTTGTGTGTTTGGGTTTATTATAACGTTCATCTGGGAACGCAGCGTGCGCCATTTCATCAGATTTGTAAGATAAATAATTTATAAATCGACGCAAACACAGGAGAATACATCATTATCTCGCGGTTTCAAAATAAAAGCTCAAACCCTCACTCTGAGTTTACACGTTTTGAGCGCCCCCTGCAGGCCTTTGTTGTAATGCGTAATGTACATTAGCTCTATTGTTTATAATACATTATGTACTTTAACAGTTTTGTTCAATAAAACAATATGATTTCTTGCTTTTGATACGTTATTTGAACTAGTTATTATCGCCTCATTGCTATGTATTTTAAGTCATTTTAAAGGCTATTGTTCACTTACATCTATTTTTATTACCACAAAAAAAATTATTATAATTATAGGGCCCTATGAAATCGGTTTTATTTCCAAATTCAGTTTTGTTCCATTTTCATTTGTCTATCCTCTGTTTTAATGGTTAAATTCAATTGTATTAATCAAAAAGCCTGTCTAATTAATTGAGTTTTACAGTTTTGTCTTTACCAAATTCTGTTTTCCATTATTTTCTGGATTCCATTTGAATGGTTCCATTAAATTTTAATAATCAAAAGCATCTCCAATTAATTGATTTTTTTCAACCAAAAAAAAAAAAAAATTTTTTTTTTTTTTTTTTTCAGAAATACTGCACAATTACATTTTTCTCCTAAATAAATTCTGGTAAATACTCCTTTAAAAGTGTTTTTTTTTTATTATAATTGTATTATTAGACTATGAGATGGATGCGCTTTTTACTTTTGCTTTAAAAAAAGGATTTCATAGAAATTTGGATTTCCTTTGGTTTAATAAAATATAGTTTAATAAAATATCCTTAAGTAAAATTGTTGATTTTTTGTGTGTGGGAAATTAATCGTATAGATTAATCGACAAATTAGTCGTTAGATTAATCTAAATAAAAATAGTCGTTAGTGGCAGCCCTAGATGCGATAATCACGATTAATCGTTTGACAGCACTAGCTTTTATCGATTCTACTTCATCTTTGGTTTTGCATGACAAAAACATCTAAAAACCTTCAGAAATAGCATTTTCATAACTTAATAGGAAGATGCCAGAACTTATTTTTGTTAGCTAGGAAGAGTGAACAAAACGGAGTAATTAATATCATGGTTTTGCACACTCTCTCTCATGATGTTACTAACATGTAACGGGGAAATACTGTAATTTTCACTGAAGTGCATTGAGCTGTCATGTAGATTTGGACGTGTGTAAGTGGCGTGATTAAATGGCCATGCAGTCGGTGTCTGATCTGAGCTGTGTGTGATGGTAAAGCGTGGTAAGTGTGTGTTTGTCTGTAGGATGCGGCGCTGGTTTATGGCAGCGATGCTCCGGCGGGAGAGCTGCAGAGTGACGTGTTGTTCAGAGAGGGTCTTACGCCCGGTGCACACGTCACTTACACGCCTCGACTCATCGCCATGGACCTCAAAGGTGAAGCACATCAAGCACACGCGTGCTCCTGAAGCCCATGGGTTCCATCCTGCATCAAAATCTCAATATATAAAGGCAGAAGCAGATGTGAAAATGTCCATAAGCACAACTTTATTCCGCTCGTATCACTATATGAATTAATATAATGATATGCACAATTCAGTGATATTTTAGTATGGTCGAGATGTCGTTTAGCAGACGCTTTTATCCAAAGCGAATTACAAAAAAAGAGGACAATAGAAATCAACGAAAGAGCAATGTGCTATAACAAGTCTCAGTTATATAATAAATAAAAAGAAAATGGATAGAATAGAAAAAGAATAGAGCAAGCTATTGTTAGAGGCCTTTTTTTTGCTTTTTGTATAATAATTGTATAATAAATGAAAAGAAAACGAATAGATAGAATACAAAACGAATAGAGAAGCTAGTGTTAGTTAGTTTTTTAAAGAAAACAAGCAGTTAGTCAATTAATAGAGTGCATTTATATATGGAACAAGGTTTTTTAAAGAATAGAATTAGAATAGAGAGTGCTAGAGTTAGATTTCTAGTGCTATTTTTTTTGTTTTAGTAATTTTTTTAAAATAGTTTTATTTTCATATTATCTGTTTTCATTGTCATTTTTTAGCTAAAGCGATAGTAATTTTGTGCGTTTTTGTCATTTTTATTTTTTATATTTTATCTAAATATGTCTATTTTGTGCAGATTTTTTAATATCAGTTTTAGTCTTTGTCGTTGCTGTTATTTTAGTACTTAAAGTTTGAAAGAATTGTTTTAGTAATTTTTTGAAATAGTTTTATTTTCATATTATCTGTTTTCATTGTCATTTTTTAGCTAAAGCGATAGTAATTTTGTGCGTTTTTGTCATTTTTATTTTTTATATTTTATTTAAATATGTCTATTTTGTGCAGATTTTTTAATATCAGTTTTAGTCTTTGTCGTTGCTGTTATTTTAGTACTTAAAGTTTGAAAGAAACTCAGATGTTTATATTTCATTTTATTTCAACTCATTTTTGATGGTTTTATTTTTAGTTAACGATTGCACAAATGAGCAACATTTGAACTGCTCTGTGATAATGAAATTACTAAAATGAATTGTTTATGAACGCTTGGATTTTCTTGTGCACTTGAATTTAAGATGAAGTGCAATCCATAAAGAGAGGATTGTTTAGAAATATTTCTGTGCATATGGACAATTTATAAAGCATTCATTAGAAGCCGTCGCGCATCTTTATAAACGAGGCCACATTAATTAGGAGCATCAGTGCTAGCGATGCTTGGCTTTGGCAGTCGCTGCTGATGATTGTTGGTTTGTGGATGTGATATTGGGTTGTTGATGTGTGTGTATAATGTGTTGATATCGTCAGGAAGTCTTCAGACGCTGAGGAAGGAAGGCAGTCTGTATGAAGGCACAGAGGATGAAAACACCACCTTTACGTGGTATGAACATGATTCTGCTTCTGCTCAGATTTCTCTGGCTCTGGATCTTCGCCGTGTGGTATTTCAGTGTTTCCTCTGCTCTTAGGGAAGGACAGATTATGACCCATAAAGAAAGCCCTCCCACCAAAAACGCCTTCCTACAGCAGCTGGACAGTCTGGATGTGAGTGGGACTATAATACTGTGAGGATTGGAAAGCGTCTGTTGTCTGAGAGTGACGCTTATTAAGATTGTCTGTCTGTTTTTTGTGTGTCTAGGCGGGAGGTTTACTAGCAGAGCTGGATTTCACGAGTTCTTCCTCTGCTGTGGAGCACTGCTCGGGTAAAATGTGACTGTAAAAATGAATATGAACCTATTTTACCCTGTTTAAAGTCTCCATTCATTGTGGTCATTTATGCATTCAGCAGATGCCTTTTTCCAAAATGACTTGCGTTGTATTATCAGTTCATGCATTCCCTGGGAATCGATCCATTGATCTTGCTGTGGGGTTATTTTTTGTCAACTACAGCTAAAGCTGTAATAAAAAAAATTATTACATGCAACAAAATGAACATGAACTGAAATCTATAAAAATTTAACATTTTATTTCAGGTAGGTTCCAAAACAAGCATTTGCGATTTTTGTATAGTTTATCTCGAAGTACTAAAATAACTAATAAATAAAAATTAATAAAAACTGTATAGACATGTTAAAAAAACTGATACAAATCACAAAAATACACAACAAAATTAATCAAATTAAAACCAGAAAATATCAAAATTAAAGCCTAATTCTAAATATTAACTAAATAATTTTAATAGAATTTACTAGAATTATATTATAATAATTATAATAGTATTTATATAATTATAATATGTATTCATGTAATTATATTATAGGCTACAAAAATAAAAAATATTATGTGAATTTTAGAATTATACTAAAATAACGCCTACTGCTTGAGTTAAAGAAATGAACAATTCATCAATGCGCTTTATTCTAAAGAAAATCATAATTTGTCTCGAAATTAAAAACTCGCTCCACTTCTGAAACCACATTCTTTATAATATGTATTCATGTAATTATATTATAGGTTACAAAAATAAAAAATATTATGTGAATTTTAGAATTATACTAAAATAACACCGCCTACTGCTTGAGTTAAAGAAATGAACAATTCATCAATGCGCTTTATTCTAAAGAAAATCATAATTTGTCTCGAAATTAAAAACTCGCTCCACTTCTGAAACCACATTCTTTTCCGCTGACATCAGCAATCTCTATTTTAGTTTTTTTCACCATCTAACCCCAGAATTATCTTTCATCTTACATTTTATTTTCTCATTTACTGTCTATCCCGCTTGACTCAGAAATATCCGTTTTTCAAAATAATGAAAATGTCATTGAAAGAAATTGCAGCACGTGTTTTATGATGATTCTGTATTATGTCCATTCTACGTTACCCAGCTTTAAGTGTAGCTATGTTTTGAGGAGATGCATGGAATATTGTGCGTTTGTATTTTAACTCTTAAAGTGAGCGGCGCGGGAGCGGGTGTTGCCATGGAGACGGTGAACAGCAGACTGGAGCGGATGCAGAAATCCTATTGGCTGGAGGGAAGCGTGAGGGTGTGGTCAGATTTCCTGAGGATCCACCTACATCCGCGCACCGTTTCCGTCATTAACCAGTACAACCACGACGGGTGAGTAATACAACGACTAATGCGTCACATTGCATTCTTCAGCACTGGTCAGGTGGTTTGATGGGGACTCTGAGTGATGTTAATTAGGGGTGACTCCAAACAGCCGAAGATTCGATGCTTCGATATGGAGAAGCCTGATTCGATACCAATCTCACAGTCGAACAGAGGTGTTATGATCGTGACATTTTGGCTATATGGGGCTGCTCAAATGTCTGATTTCACATAGAACTACCAATTAGTTACAGTTAAAATACAGCCTATTGTGATAATGCTGTAAATAAGAATCTGAAAAGAAAGAAGCTTTTAATAAATATTTTTAACGTACACTGCCGCTCAAAAGTGTGGGGTCAGCAAGACTTCTAATGTTTTTAAAGAAGTGTCTTCTGCTCATCACGGCTGCGTTTATTTGATCAAAAATACAGAAAAAAACAGTAATCTTGCAAAATGTTATTACAATATAAAATAATGGTTTCTATTTTAATATCCTTTAAAATGTAATTTATTTCAGTGATGCGAAGCTGAATTTCCATCATCATTACTCCAGTGTAAAGTGTCACATGATCTTCAGAATTAGAATTATTATTAGAATTATCAATGTTGTGCTGCCACAATATTTTTTTGGAAACTGCTATACTTTTTTCAGGATTCTTTGATGAATAGAACAGCATTTATTCAAAATATCAATCTTTTCTAACAATATAAACCTTTGCTATCGCTTCTTAACAATTTAACACGTCCTCGCTGAATAAAAGTTTTAATTTCTTTCAAAACAAGAAAGAATAGAAATGTACTGACCCCAAACTTTTGAACGGTAGTGTGTATTGTTAGAAAAGATTTCTATTTTAAATAAACGCTCTTCTTTTTAACTTTGTATTCATCAAAGAATCCTGAAAGAAAAGTATCACCGCTTCCAAAAAAATAACAGTTTCAGCTCTGATAATAAATCAGCATATTATACTGATTTCTGAAGATCATGTGACACTGAAGACTGGAGGAATGATGCTGAAAATACAGCTGCGCATCACAGAAATACATTACAGTTTAATGTATATTAAAATAGAAAAACATTATTTTACATCATAATAATATTTCACAATATTAAACTTTTTCCTGTATTTTTGATCAAATAAATGCAGCTTTGATGAGCAGAAGAACCTCCTGTAAAACCATTAAAAATCGTTCCGATCCCAAACTTTTGAGCGGTAGTGTGTGTGAATAAATCCAACCACCCCATGACGGATTTAAGTTTCACTTTCTGTAATCCGTGACCGACAGAGAAAGACTCAAATTGACACAGAGTGAAAGACTGGATTTTTTTACAAGGTACAAGTGATTTCGAAACATTTCAGCTGGTTCTAATTAGACTTTTGGATGCTGTGAACAGATAGGCCTAGAAAAACTGGACATATTGTCTATAATATATCATATTGGCGAAACTGATCTGGCAATATATCCAATGCATACTTGTGTTTGCGCTCTGGAGAGAATCAAAAGGTAAATTCTGAGTCCAGTACAAGGCAAGCTCGCGAATCCTCTCATAACAAAACATAATGAGATCGTGATGAACTAAGACGAGGGACAGCTTTTTAGTGATTATAAAGGCAGTGCTTGTTGTGTGCTTTCTAGGCTATAGAATATAATCCACTCAGAATTTGTGTAGAACTTTTATTTTTCGGTCACGTAACGTTACACGCTGCAAAGTTTTGGGAATGACATCCGCATATTTATGCGGGATTCGCGCTCGAAAGAGCAATGGACGGGACAAAGATATACATGAAAATACTGTGTTAGAGCAGTTTTCACAGTAGTTCATATTTGTGACCCTGGAGCACAAAACCAGTCATAAGGGTCAATTTTTCTGGATAAATAATCTTTCCATTGATGTATGGTTTGTTAGGATCGGACAATATTTGGCCGAGATACAACTATTTGAAAATCTGGAATCTGAGGGTGCAAAAAAACCTAAATAGTGAGAAAATCATCTTTAAAGTTGTCCAAATGAAGTTCTTAGCAATGCATATTACTAATCAAACATTAAGTTTTGATATATTTATGGTAGGAAATGTACAAAATATCTTCATGGAACATGATCTTTACTTAATATCCTAATGATTTTTGGCATAAAAGAAAAACAATAATTGTGACCCATACAATGTATTGTTAGCTATTGCTACAAATATACCCCAGCGACTTAACACTGCTTTTGTGCTGCAGGGTCACATTTAGGCGATCGCATGGAGTTTTACGAGGCAGTAGGCTATGCTTCAAAGTCTGAAAAATTAGCATTAGATATTTGTTAATTTCCTGTGTGAAAATCTCTATACAGTTAGAGAAAACAATAATGCACACGGGCTTCATCGAATACTTCTTGCATCTCTTGATTTCATCTTGGTTCTATTTAGTGCAAATCTGCGGTTTCATCAGCTCTGGTACGTAATAAACAACATCATATGCAGCCGGATGATGTTAGCTATCTTTTAATCAGAACTTAAAACATTATTTACCCCGTTTGTATCTGCGAGGCACATTTTCCCTGTGTGTTAAAGGGGTCATAGGATGCTACATGCACTTTTACAAGTAGTTTGAACTGAAATGTGTGTTAGCAGTGTGTGCACACAACCACCCTATAATGATAAAAATCCACCCGGTGGTTGTTTTTTAATCTGGTTAAATGTTTTCCCCTTTCTCATATCGAGCCGATCTCAGATGCCTGTCTGTGTGACCCCCCCCACGTTTGTTTGATTGACAGTAGCGTTTTACCTTAGACCCGCACTGAGAAAACTGTTATCAGTCCATTATTGTTTCGATGCCGGAATCTTTGCAAATCGCCTTTTCCTAATAATGTGCTAGTTAGCAAGTTTCACGATGAATGCGGCTAAAGTAAAAAGTCTCTCAGAGAGCAGCTCGGAAGAGAGGGGCGGAGTCAGCAGAGCTCATTAACATTTAAAGGGAAATGCTACAAAAATGGCTTGATCTGAAAAGAGCTGTTTTGACAGTAAAAAAAGGTGTTTTTACTCTACCATTGAGAAATTTGAACCAAGCTATGTTACAGACTTTTCATCAAGACCCTAAAGAATCATATCAACTTGTGGAAAATGGGCATCCGATGACCCCTTTAACATTAGTATATGGCTGTCGAATGTCTGGCTACTTGACTCTTGGTAATGCGTTTTGCCCCGCCCCCAAACATATGATTGGACTATCAGTTGACTGTCGGCAGGATTCATCAGTTCTGTGTAAATCCTGAGTCGGGGACTCCTCTAATGTCCGTGATGTTTGTGTTCAGTGAGGCGGAGCGTCTGGAGGTGTTTGGTCAGGGGGAGGCGCTCTTAAAGGGGCCAGTGCTGGAAGATCTGGAGGATCGGCTGCATTTCTTCGTGGAGGAGTGCGACTATCTGCAGGTGAACCACAGATCTGACTCAGGAGACTTGTAGCGATGCGTCCAGGTCTTTTAGGTTTTTAAGCCTGTTTCGGCAGCATTGTGACAAAAACATTCTGTTTTGTAATGGAGAAGAAAATCAATTAGACGGAAAATCTATTAGTGTTATTTCAATGCTTTGCGTGAGTTTTCAAAATGTTTGTGTTGACGGAGAAAGTTCTGGGGTTGAATTCACCACTTTGCAAGCGAATGCAAAGTTTCTCGGGGAACGCCAAAGATTTGCAAATTAATACAGTGTTATTTGTTAGGGGAACATTAAAATACTTTTTAAGTCAGTTTTTTTTGTTTTATGTCATTATTTTGACTCTGTATGTCCTCATTTTGAATTTTCATGTCATATTTCGACTGTCATAATTTTGACATTTTATTTCATTTAAGTGTTTTGTGTCATAATTTAGACTTTTTATGTCATTTCAATTTGACTCGTAAATTTGACTTTTTATTTCATGTCAGTTGCAACTTGATTTCAACATTTTATTTCATGATTTCAATGTTTTATGTCATAATTTTGGCTTGGTATGTCAAAATTTCTACTTTTTATGTCAATTTTGACTTGGTATGTCGAAATTTTGATTTGATATGTAATTATAATAATAATATGATTAGTATATAATTTCTACTAAGCATGTTATAATTTATATATATATATATATATATATATATATATATATATATATATATATATATATATATATATATATATATATATATATA